ATTTGATTTGTGTGAAGTTATGCTATTCAAATGAAGTGTCTCCAACAGAAATATGCGAAAATTTTTGTTTAAATACTTTTAGGGTTCTCTGCCACTCTCTGACAATAAAAGAGGTTTTGATTTGTAAAATGGGTTCTTCATCTGTTATTCTCTTTTAATCTGTCATCCCATTTTTAAACAAACAAATTAAAAACAATTTTTACTTTGGGGAATTATGACAGATTTGTTGTGTAAACAACTTTTTTTGGTTTGCTCTAATACAAGTCGGAAGAGACACGCCTACACAAAAATGCTTTTTGACTTTTGGCATAAATTTTAATAATAGAGTTTGATTAAATGTTATTCTGTGAATAATTGCAAAAAGTAAAAGTTTTCCTGCTTAGAGCGGTTTGAAAAAAAGTATGAAGAGGGAAATATAAAGTAAGAATGCGGATATGCAGGTGTTTTAGGGTTAAAAACTTTTCACTTAGTTGAGCAACTAAGTTGAAACGCTGTGAACTGTAATATGGTTTGAAGTTCGACCATACCAAAATGTCCAAAGACGAAAATATAGAATTTTCCCAGGATTTAAAAAGGAAGGAGAAGATTCTGTCCATGTATTTTTGTAAACAAAGTGCAGCACGCATTTATTGCACTATCCAGATGAAATTTTGCACAAATCATTTGTTTGGCCCAAGGACGAACCCTATTGAAATTGGAGATAATCGGTAAAACTTTAGATATAGCTCCCATATATATCTTCGTCCGATTTGCCTTTTATTGTGCACCAAACGTGTAATACCACCCCGAATAGTATGGAATTTCGCACATACATCCAAATTAGGCCTGAAAATAAGTATGCCAAATTTGATCGAAATCGGTTCAGATATAGCTATAGCTCCCATATATATTGTTAATCCGATTTGTTATTTTAGTCCTCCGCAGCCGTAATATGCACTCTGTAACAACAATATTTAGGGAAATATATCAAATACAGCTCAGAAATACATTTGCTTCATTTTATCGAGATCGGTTCAGATTTGGATGTAGCTCCCATATATAACTTCGTCCGATTTACATTTTATTGTGCACCAAACGTCTAATATTTGCCCAAATGGGATGAAATTTGGCACTTATGACCGAATTGAGTCTAGAAGCTAGTATGTCAAATTTGGTGAAGATCGGTTCAAATATAGCTATAGCTTCCATATATACTGTTCATCCGATTTGTTATATTTGTTACCCACAGCCGTAATATGCACTTCGTAACAACGATATTCAGGGAAATATATCAAATACAGCTCAGAAATATCTTTGCCAAATTTTATCGAGATCGGTTCCGATTTGGATATAGCTCCCATATATATATATCTTTATCCGATTTCAAATTAATTGTGCACCAAATGGGCAATACAAGTCCGAATTTAAAAGATAAAAATGCTTCGGCATATTTGGGCCTTTGAACTTTAAATTATAAATGTAATCATAGCGTGTATGATTGAATTCTCCCATAAAAACTTTTAATTGTTATGCGGAGCTCTGCTAAATTAGCAAAGTGGTGTAGGGTATCATAAAGTCGGCCCCGCCCGACTTTAAGACTTTCTTTACTGGTTTTATATTGCGATTCGAATGTTATCTCGAAAGATGTGAACCCAGCCCTTGTATATTTGTATACTCTCAGCCATATGGCTTGTTATACCCCCAGTCATATGGCTTGAGAGGGTATATATCATTTGATATGGCCAAAACGTGCTTCATCGAAAAAACGGTTTTAGTCGATCTAGCTACGTCCGTCCGACCATCTGTCTGGCTGGCTGGTGCACTCTCGAAGGGAGTATCAGATTTGGTCCAAACTTTTTACATCGTAATATTATCATTAAACATAGACCGAGTTCGGAGATGGGCAATTTTTATCAACAAAATATATAGTGTGGAGACGGGATATACAGATTCACTCTTTAAGATACCTTCCCCTCAAAGGGTAAACATTTGGAATAATCGTCTCTATTATAAAATGTGAAATAAGTGGCCCATGATTTTTAAATTTCATACATCCGAATTCTTTTACCAACACAAGAATTGGTATCAATAACGTTTAGAACGGACAATTCCTTCGGGTATCTCCACCACAAGAGGTCAAAATTAAAAAAAAAAAAATGATGCGCATAATAATCATAATCCAATTCGTGACACATTCTAATAATTCCAACAACACAGGAGGAATGTGATATACATCCGCTTTTTTCTTGTACCTCCCCCACAAAGGGTCAGAATTTCGAATATCCATGAAGCTCATAAAAGGCGATGTTACCATCCGATTCCATTTATATTTGGCACATCTAAATGTTTCTATCAACACAATATCTGTTATAAAGATGATAGAGATCGAACCATACCTTCTTGTACCTCCCCCACATAAAATCCGATAAAATCCGAAATAAGCATCTGCTCATCTTTACATTTCATACATCCCATTATTTCTACTAACACAAGATTTGCTTTGAAGATGGGACTCACTCCCCCACAGAAATTTTGAATAGCTATGAAGCTCATAAAACGCGAAGTTATCATTGGATTCCATTCAGACATGGCAAATCTCAATATTTCTACCAACACAAGAACAGATATAATGATGGTAAATATCAAACCATTCTTTGTGGCAACTCCTGCACAAAGGGTCAAAATTTTGAATAATTATAGCTCTTATAACGTGTGATTTACGAGTATGATTGTGTTGAAATTACGTTTATAACTATATTTTTATTAACCCAAGGTCTGGTGTGAGGATGAAATATATCGGTCCACTCCTTCTAGTACCTTCCCCACAAAAGTGACATTTTCAATATACATAAAGCTCATAAAACGTGAAGTTAACATCCGATTCCATTCCAGACTTGGCACAGCTCAATATTTCTATCAGCACAAGATCTGTTATAAAAATGGTAAAGATCGAACCATTCCATCTGGTACCTCCTCCACAAAGGGAAAATGTTTTGAATAATCAAAACGATTATAAGATCCGAAATAAGCATTTCGTTCTCTTCAAATTTCACATATCCCATTATTTTTACTAGCACAAGATAAATGTTAAGACGGGATATATCGTTCCACTCCTTCGGGTTTCACCCCACAAAGGGTCAGAATTTCGAATATCCATAAAGCTCATAAAACGAAATTACATGTACATCTCAATACTTCTATCAGCACAAGATATGCTATGAAGAGTAGTGATCGGAACATTTCATCTAGTACCTCCCCCACAAAGGGTCAAAGTTTTCAATAACCAATACAATTATAAAATCCGAAATAAGCATCCTGTTCTCCTCAAACTTCACATATCCCATTATTTTTATCGGTCCACTCCTGCTGGTATCTCCACCACAAAGGCACAGAATTCCGAATATCCATGAAGCTCATAAACCGCGCTTGCTTGAGGTGATCGACACTTTGGTTTTTCTTAGTATCAACCTTGCTTTTCAAAATATTCCAAACACAATAGTCCAACGGATTGGTATCCGGAGATTTTAGTGGCCATTGAGCGCTAGAAATGAAGCCAGGAATCTCATTTTGTAACCATTCTTGGGTGGCGCATGCTGAGTGCGATGGTGCTGAGTCCTGTTGGAATGTCCATGGTCTGTGGCCAAAATGTTTGCGTGCCCAAGGCTTTAATACACCCTCCAGAATATTTTCGCCATAATATTCGGTATTTGTTCTGATGCCACGGTCGATTAATACGAGCGGAGAGCGACCATCGGCTGTTATGGCGGCCCACACCATCACCATGGCCGGCGCTTGAGTTCTGGTGGCCAACCGTAGGTGCTCATTTTCAGCTGACATCTTTGGCAAGTAAACCCGATCATTTTGTTTGTTTACAAACTGCTGGACCACGTATGTTTTCTCATCGGAGAAACCCAAATTCGACAGTTCACCACTTTCGGCCAAGCGAAATAACTCTTTAGCTCTTTTGAGTCTATTTTCTTTCTGTTGTGGTGTAAGTTCTTGCACTTTTTGGAATTTGAATGGCTTTACGCTGAGCTTATTTTTCAATATTTGCCGAATGGAGTATTAGCGATCTGTTAAGCTCATGCGCCATTTTTCGGTCACTGCGACGCGGGTTTCGATCAAGTCGCTTCTTTACTGTCGAACCAATTTTGCTGATATTGCTGTTTTTCTTCCGTCCACTCCCTTGACGTCGGGCTACTGGTAGTGTAGCTACGGTTACGAACACAAAAGATTTATTTACATTTAAATGCTGGAGTTCTATAACGATAGCCACTTGTGGTTTTCCAGCCAAATATAAAGAAATCACACTTTCACGCTTGAATTTCATCACGAATGACTTTTTTCCTGGAAAATGCCGAAATGCTTTTGTTCGCTTGTAAACAATATAATGAGCTGTCACTGGAATAATTTTAACAGCTGTCAGACGAGTGGCTTAGAAATGTCAACAGTCTGAAGTTGGTTGCATTTTTTTCATCTCACCCTGCATATAGCTGCCAACCCATTCTGATGCCTCACCAATAGTTTTATCTGTTATCGAAACATTCTTTACATATATATATCTAAATATTTCTCTCAACCAGAAACCTGAGATGAAAATGGAATTATTGATTTCGCATAAAATTGGATATAAATGTTCGATTTCCTTGTAATTTTGCCCATACCAATATTTATATCTGAATTAGATGAAGACTGGAAATGGAATATTTCGGTCGACTATATCTGGCACCTCATGCACATTTTAACATTTTCTAAAAATTATCTCATATAAAGTGTACGAAGTAACCAATACAGCGCATACCTGACACGTCGCAATAGTTATATTACATTGATTTAGGTCTGATACGAAATGAATCACACTGGCGCATTCCTTCGGAACCTACTCCACAATTGGAAACAATTGGAATTATCATCACAGAAGTCAAAATATATTTGACTAATCGAACTTTGGCTGAGAGTATTCATCTTTCGGCAAAACCGATTGATACTTTTTAACTTGTTTTTTATAAGCATTTATTTTTCTCAAAATATCAATGGTTCTTCAACTTAATTTCAATATTTATAATTAACCACATCCATAATACACAATTCCACTTTAATAACATTTTCACATTTATTTTCATCCCGGATGGCGGCACATTTCTCCATTGCTGCTGCGGCCTTATCTTCACTGACAGAGAAATGATCTCCAATGTACTCCTTGAAATATTCACTTACTATGGGTTGACCATTTTCATCAAATAAATTCAGTTTTAGATAAAAACAATGCAAGAAACATTTAAAATTATCCGAAATTGGTGCTCTATACAAATCATCCACTTGATCACTGGCAATTAAATGGATGTCTTGCTCGCTCAGACCACTTTCATTGCCACAGATTTGGACCAACGATTGTATATATTCTATGACAGCTTCCTCCAAAATAGTAGACTAAAAATGTAAATATTAAATGTTTAATTATTTTTTTTATAAATGAATTAAGAGTTTGATTTGAAATTACCTGAGACAGTTGCAAATAGCTTAACAGAATAAGCGATAAACAATATTTGGAAAATTGTATCTGCATTATTGCAAATTGTGAGACTTAATAAGGGTTTAGCGGCGAATGCAAGCGCTTTAAATAGGAAAATTTGACAAATCATTCAATTGAAGTGATTTTAATAAAAATGTTTTTTAAAAGTTTAATCATTGACAAAATATTATATCAGGGGATTTATATCTCAAAATAAAAAGTACGTACGAAATAAAAAATAGTTTTATGACAACTAGAATATTACGAATGAGTGCTTACGTAACTACGTTTAGTGGCCAAACAAAGTTAATAACTGTGCAACAGCCTATCTGGGGTTGAAAAATTCTAAGTGCAGGTGATGGCATTCGGTTGGTAGATCAAACCCCGAAAACGATTTGGGGCTTAAGGCCGAACTTTTGAGAAAGTTTCTCTTATGAGGTACTGCTATTTGATGGTCATAACATAAGGTAAACCAGTAAGGAAAGCTCATAAGTCGGGCGGGGTCGACTATATGATACCCTACACCACTATGCATATTTAGTAGAGCTCTCGTAAAAAGGTTTATACAGGGCATTTCAGAGCTCTATGAGATATTTGGTACAAAATCAAAATCTATCTAATTCTATCGTGCATTTTACGAACTATAGCTATCTCTGAACCGGGTTTCTCCAAATTTGACGTATTAGCTTCTAGACTGAATTCGGTCATATGTACCAAAATTCAGGTGATTTGGGCTGATATTGGACATTTGATGCACAATTAACATGAAATCGGATGAAGATATATATGGGAGGTATATCCAAATCGGAACAGATTTTAATAAAATTAAAATCAACTATTTTTGGCTTTATCTGATATCTGGTACCAAATATCATTCCTGTGGAGTGCATTTTACGAATGTGAGGGACTTAAATCGGATGAAAGATATATATGGGAGCTATAGCTATATCTGAACCGATTTTTACTTAAATTTGTGTACTTGCTTCTAAGCTGGTTTCGGTCGGATTTGCCAAAATTGATGCTATTACGGCCATTTGGTGGTCAGTCACCCGAAATCGGATGAAGATATATATGGGAGCTATATCCAAATCTGAACCGATTTCGATAAAATTTAAAGCAGCTATTCCTGTGCTCCATCTAATATCTGGTACCAAATATCACGGTTGTGGAGTGAATATTACGAATGTAAGGGACTAAAACACTAAATCGGATGAAACATACATATGATTGCTATATCTATATCTGAACCGATTTTCACTAAATTTGATATACTTGCTTCTAGGCTGAATTTGGTCCGATGTACTCAAATTCAGTTCATTTGGACTTATATCGGCCATTTGGTGCACAATTAACCCGAAATCGGATGAAGACATATATGGGAGCTATATCCAAATCTGAACCGATTTCGATAAAATTACAAACAGCTATTTCTGGACTGTATCTTATATCTGGTACCAAATATCATTCTTGTGGAGTGCATATTACGAATGTGAGAGGCTTAAACACCAAATGGGATAAAACATATATATGGGAGCTATAGCTGTTTCTGAACCAATTTGTTGTATTTGCTTTAAGGCTAATCTCGGTCACATGTGCCAAAATTCGTGCCATTTGGGTTGATATTGGCCATTTGGTGGTCAATTAACCCGAAATCGGATGAAGATATATATGGGAGCTATATCCAAATCTGAACCGATTCCGATAAAATTTAAAACAGCTATTTCTGTGCTCCATCTAATACCTGGTACCAAATATCACGGTTGTGGAGTGCATAGTATGAATGTGAGGGACTTAAAGAACAAATCGGATGAAAGATATATATGAGGGCTATAGCTATATCTGAACCGATTTTCTCCAAATTTAATATACTTGCTTCTAGGCCGAACTCGGTTGGGTGTGCCAAAATTCAGGTAATTTGGACTGATAGTAGACATTTGGTGCACATTTAACCCGAAATCTGATTAAGATATATATGGGAGCTATACCTAAATTTGATCCGATTCTCACCAATTTCAATAGGGTTCGTCCTTGGGCCAAAAAAATATTGTTTGGAAAATTTCATCTCAATCGGATAATAAATGCGACCTGCATTTTGTTCACAAGAATACATGGACAGACGGACGCACGGACGGACGGACAGACGGACTGACATGCATAAATCGACTCAGAAAGTGATTCTATGAAGGTTCTCAAAAGTAACTATGGGTCTATCTCGTTTCCTTCTCCATGTTACAAACAAATGCACAAAGACATAATACCCTTACCACTATGTGGTGTAGGGTATAAATAGCCTGATGATGACTTAATACCCTCACATGCATTTTAAAAATCCCACTTCAATTAATATCGCTTGGGAAAGTGAACTTGGGCGGTATTGTTATATGGAGACTATACCTAAATAAATACTTTGGCAGATAGGCAGTTTACTCTCAGTGAAACAAAAACTCAATTTTCAGCCAAATTTTTTGAAAAATGTTGTCAATTTCCTCTAAATAGCTAAAATCAGGAGGTAATCCCATATGAGGGCTACTTCAAAATTGTGACCTTTGTTGGAAGATGTTCTACTCCCTGATAAACCAAAATACAAAACAAGGGTCAAATCAATGTGGCTAAAACTCTCGAAATAGCTGAAATCTAATGAGGACTACAACAAATAGTGGACTCAGCGTTTGTAGAAAGAGTTTGTTCATACTCTGATCGGAAAATACGAAAATTTTCCGATTTATTTGTAAAATATGGAATAAAGTAAAAAGGAATTTCCCAAAGAAAACACCTATTCTAAACGAAAATGCAAATCAAATTTTAGTTAAATCGTTTGGAAAATTTAGCCATTATCCTCTAAATAGCTAAAAATCAGGGGGTACCTTCATATGAAAGCTACTCCAAAATATTGACCTACAGTTTTTAAAAAGTTTTTTTTTTTTAAGAAATGGGAAGTGGGAAACTGATATCTCAGATAAAAACAAAATCAATTAAAAACGTGACCAAGATCTACGAAATATCTGAACTCGGGCGGTATCTCTTTTCGAGGGCTACACCAAAAAGTTTGCCCATCTTGAGAGTTTTTTGTAAGGAGAGTATCTACTTTCTAATGACTCAAAATTCGAAAAGTTCCTGAAATAGTTGAGAAATATGGCTAATATGTCAAAAATACATGAAACCGGAAATAACCCCAATATTCGGGGGATATAAAAATATGGACCAATATGACGCAGATTTGAACCAAGAGGTCTCTATTAAATTTCAAAATTTCTATCTGAAATTTTAAGAAGTATGGAGCAAAACATTTGGCACCCTTTGTATATGCTTAGGGTCTCATATATAAAGGCAACTAACCAAATACTATCACATTTAAAAACAAATTAAAAAGGAGTAAGTTCGGCCGTGCCGAACTTTGAATACCCTCCACCATTTGGAACGAATTGGAAAATTTTCAAAAAATAAAATCCTTAAAAATACTGTTAAAAATTTAAAAATATCAAATATAGCCGTTATATTGGGGTCTATACGACGTGGACCTACATAGGCATTGTTTGTCATAAGCCATTACCATATTCAAATTCGAAACTTGAAATAAACGGTGCAAAATGTAGCAAAAATCATCAAAATACCAAATATCTGTTGGTACCGTTATATCGGAGCTGTGCGAAGACCTGGACCAGCATAAACAATTTTCTGTCACAAGCTGTAGTATCCATTACGAACTTCAAATACGACATCTCAAACAATTTCGGTAGGTATTGTACCTAAACTCGTCAAAATACCGAATATAGGGAGGTACTGATGTATGGGGCCTATACGAAGACGTGGACCTGCACAGACAATTTTCTGTAACAGACTGTAGTTCCCATTACGAACTCTAAATACGTAATTGAAAACAATTCCGGTGAATAATGGCGCTAAAATCCTCAAAATACCGAGTATTGGGAGGTACTGTTATGTGGGCCTGCACAGACACTTTTCTACCATAGGCTGTAGTATCCATTACGAACGTCAAATACCAAATTTGAAACAATTCCGGTAAATAACGTCGCTAAAATCATCAAAATACCGAATATAGAGAGGTACCGTTATATGGGGGCTATACGAAAACGTGGACCTGCATGGCCTATTTTCAATAGCAAAAATCCTGCAGATATAATATACATTTTGATTTATTTTGATGATTTTAGCGAGATTATTTACCGGAACTATTTCAAATTTGGTATTTGAATTTCGTAATAAATGCTAGAGCCTATGACAGAAAATTGTTTTTGCAGATCCACGTCTTCTAATAGCTCCCATATAACGGTAGCCCCCGATATTCTATATTTTGATGATTTTAGCGACATTATTTACCGGAACTATTTCATATTTGGTATTTGAAATTCATAACTAATACTACGGAATATGACAGAAAATTTTCTATGCAGGTCCACGTCTTTTAATAGCCCACATATAAGGGTACCCCCGATATTCGGTACTTTGAAGGTTGTTGCCGACATTATTTACCGGAACTATTTCAAATTTGGTATTTGAATTTCGTAATAAATGCTAGAGCCTATGACCGGAAATTGACAGAAAATGTTTGTTCAGGTCCAAGTCTTCGTATAGCCCCTATATAACGGAACCCCCGATATTCGGTATTTTAATAATTTTAGCGACATTTTTTACCGGAATTATTTCACATTTTCTATTTGAAGTTCGTAATGGATACTACAGCCTACACCAGAAAATTGTCTGTACCTCCCTATATTCGGTATTTTGATGATTTAAGCTACATTATAAACAGATTTTTTTCAACTTTCGCATTTGAATATTGTAATAGCTTGTCACAAAAGTTGCCTATGCTGGTCCACGTCGTCGTATAGAACCTAATATACGGCTACATTCGATATTTTTAAGATTCACATTCTGAGTCGATTTATGCATGTCCGTCCGTCCGTCTGTCCGTCTGTCCGTCTGTCCATGTATTTTTGTAAACAAAGTACAGTTCGCATTTATTGCCCTATCCAGTTGAAATTTTGTACAAATCATTTGTGTGGCCCAAGGACGAACCCTATTGAAATTGGAGATAATCGGTCAAAATTTAGATATAGCTCCCATATATATCTCCGTCCGATTTGCCTTTAATTAGCCACCAAACGTGTAATATCAGCCCGAATAGTATGGAATTTTGCACATACAACCAAATTAGGCCTGAAAATAAGTATGCCAAATTTGATCGAAATCGGTTCAGATATAGGTATAGCACCCATATATATTGTTCATCCGATTTGTTATTTTTGTCCCCCCGCAGCCGTAATATGCACTCTGTAACAACAAAATTTTGAGGAAATATATTAGATACAGCTCAGAAATACATTTGCTAAATTTTATCGAGATCGGTTCAGATTTGGATATAGCTCCCATATATAACTTCGTCCGATTTACATTTTATTGTGCACGAAACGTCTGATATGCGTCCAAATGGGATGGAATTTGGCACTTACGACCGAATTGAAAGTAGAAGCTAGTATGTCAAATTTGGTGAAGATCGGTTCAGATATAGCTATAGCTCCCATATATACTGTTCATCCGATTTGTTATATTTGTTACCCACAGCCATTATATGCACTTCGTAACAACGTTATTCAGGGAAATATATCAAATACAGCTCAGAAATATCTTTGCCAAATTTTATCGAGATCGGTTCCGATTTGGATATAGCTCCCATATATATATATCTTTATCCGATTTCAAATTAATTGTGCACCAAATGGGCAATACAAGTCCGAATTTAAAAGATACAAATGCTTCGGCATATTTAGTCCTTTGAACTTTAAATTATAATTATAATCATAGCGTGTATGAGTGAATTATCTCATAAAAACTTTTAATTGTTTTGCGGAGTTCTACTAAATTAGCAAAGTGGTGTAGGGTATCATAAAGTCGGCTCCGCCCGACTTTAAGGCCTTCTTTACTGTTTCTTTTTTTGAAAATTTACAAATTTGCACCAAATGGTGGAGGGTACTCAAAGTTCGGCCCGACCGAACTTATAGCTTTTTTACTTGTTTTATATATGCAGATATTAGACAGAAAAATTTGGTCCACTCAAAAAAAAAAATAATAATAATAAAAATGAATTAATATCATTTCTAGTAAAACAAATTAAATTCTTATAAAAAATTTATTTATTTTCGATTTTGACTTCATATAGTTCAGAAAAAAATGATACAAAGCGCTTTTTTATGTTTTACACAAAAATATGCCCTTACTTAAATGAACATTACTGAGGTCCTTTATCCTTCCACTTATCCTCTCATCCACCATACATCCAACACAGCGCCTTCCTGCTTATCCCTCAATAGCTTTGGCAACACACCTCTCAAATTTGAAGACATGCTCACACATATTATCCTCCTTTATCGAGGCGCATTTATTCAAAGCCGGCTTCACCTTATCCTTTTTGCTGTGATAACGCTCTTCGAAAAACTTGATAATTTCGGCAATTTTTGGTTTACCATCAGCATCGAAAATTCCGATTTTCTTGTACCAGCACAGCATGTAACATTTCATTTTATCCGTAAATTTCCTTTCATCGATTGCCTTCGATTGATTGGCTATGAAAAGTTTCATTTCATCGTCACTAATTCCCACTTCCTTGGCGCATTCGGCTCCAAGTTTTTTAACCTTTTCCTCGAGTTCTTTTTTGTCCATGGCCTGAAAATAATTTTGAATTATTAATGTTGAAAATATTCCACTATGATTTCAAATCCATTGTGATCTCCCTTACCTGTGTTAATTCGACAAGGGCCATCAATGTGGCTAATAGAGCAAAGAGACCAATGACAGCTTTCATTGTTGTAAGTTGTGAAAATGTATGAATGATGACATTTCAGCAAATTCACGCTGTTTAAATACCAAAATTGATGTGGAGTTTCGTTGTAAAAAATATTTTCAATTAATTACATGGTGTACAGCATAATTGATATGCTGGGGTGTTCAATAAATTGTATTTGGAAAGCTAGCCAATTTGTAATGAACTTTTTTTATATGGTTCTACTCGAGTTACAAAAAATTTTTACGTTTTCTTATTTCATCCGCTTTTTTATTTGTCGCTGAGATTTATTTGTCTGGAACTCCAGACGGTGATAGTTCACAAAGATTACATTGTTAATTAGAGAATTTGTTATGAATTGATATAGGCTTTGACTTGAACCACTTTATGTGTTGGGGTATTATAAGTTGGCTTGGGTCAAAAAGAGTGATACAAAATTATAGTCCTAGACCTTCGATCTGAGCTGAGTCGATAAAGCTAGGTGTGTCCGTCCGTTAGGTCATAAAAGATGCCTATCGTTGGGGAAGATGATAGCCAAATTCTAAAGGGGTGAACTGAACCAAAAACGGACCATTTTGCTGATTATGAAGTCACTTTTATAGACCAATCATTTGATATTCAGAAAGTGAAATGAGCCATGAGCCAAAATTTCAAAATTTTCATACGACCGGAAAAATTTTTAATTCCGAAAATCACTTCCAGAAATTATATACAGAGGGCATAAGCAACAACCCACATTCCAAATATAAGAACTTACTCTACAGACAAGCACCATAAGACATCACTTTACATCTTTAAGTACCCCAAGAAACGAAATTTTAACTTACCTTTTCCAAATACCATATCAGAGAATGTAGTACATCTTAGTTGTAGTCTTCGGAGCCATAGCACGGCCGTAACACGCCATGTACTACTGAATTTCTAAATGCCATGTCAAAACATTTAATCCATTTTACTTTCGGCATTTCCGAGATTCCGGCCACAATTTTCATACAAATCCGGCTCCATATAGTGATTACTCCTAATTTGTAGATTTAAAGGGGAATTTTTTAAGTGCTGTAGGCGGGTTTTTAAAAAAACACATACAATTCAAAAAAAAAAAAAAAAAAGAATGAAATGTTTTTTTCGAAGATTGTTCTATATTCAATAAATGTTGCCTTTGCTTCCAGAGTAAATTGAGTTGAATGAGCAAAAATCTATCCAATTTGGGTTGATATAACAATTTAACAATTTGGGTCGAAGCTATATCCAAATCTGAATCGATATCGATGGAATTTGGCAAATGTATTTCTGGAGTTTTTTTTATATATTTATATATAAACCCAAATTATGCAACCTTGAATTCTATTCAAATTAGTACTATTACAAACAACTTAGCTATTACGTTATTAAATAACTGCGTTCTAGACGACAGTTTCGCTTCTCAAACATAGAACCTAAGTAAGAATGAATTTCAATAAATCACTCATACAGCGATCTACATTCTATAATGTTACATTGGAGCAAGAATAAAGTAGTACTCATACAACGATCTCCATTCTAACTGTTACATCGTAACCATCAGATAAGATTGATGTGAGCGTTAACAAAGAAAATACTTGTATCTTGGTGTGTCTGTATTCAGCCCTGCTCAAAACCGTGTTCTAGAACAAGGGCCGAAAAAAGAGATAATTTAAGAGAAAATTAACATTTTGTTTTTCTTTATATTTTACAATTCCATTTAATTATTTTTAAACATAAATGCTTTCCTAAATAATTTATAAAGCAAATGGGTAAAAATATTTGTATAAATAAAAAAGAATTAACACTGTTTTGTTCTTGATTTAAATAAGCAAAGAGAAATTTGACTGGAGAGAGATATTTTTCTTGAGCAGCGCTGCTTTATTCATGTACAATTTGCGAAGCAAATCTGTTCATTGACGCCCAACGCAGAAACTACGAAAAACACAAATAAAGGTGTTTCAATATCTGGTTTCAAATATCATTGTTGTGGAGTTCATATTATGCATGTGAGGGACCTAAAACCCCATATCGGATGAAACATATATATGGAAGCCATAGTTATATCTGAACAGTTTTCCATCAAATTCGATGTTCTTGTTTCTAGGATAGCATTGGTCTGATGTGCCAAAATTCAGATCATTTGGACTGATATTGGTCATTTGGTGCACAATTAACCCGAAATCGGATGAAAATATATATGGGAGCTATATCTAAATTTGAACCGATTCTAATCAATTTCAACAGGGTTTATCCTTGGGCCAAACAAATATTATTTGGAAAATGACATCTCAATCGGATAATAATTGCGACCTGGATTTTGTTCTCGAAAATAAATGGACAGACGGAGGGACGGACATACTCACTCCGTGCATATGCACCGACTCAGAAAGTTATTCTATGAAGATTTTCTGAAGTAACTATTGGTTGATCTCGCTTCCTTCTCCACTTTACAATCAAAGACACAATACCTTTAAAACTATGTGGTGTAGGGTGTACACACCCACAGTTTCTACAATCTATTAGTACATTCCGAGTACTATAAAAAAAAAAAAAAACAAACAAAACATTGTCTACATCATACAATTCCATTGTCTACATCATACAATTCATCCAAAAATACCAAATCCAGTACTTTTTACTTTTCGTATATATCTAATAGCTACACACTCACAGTGGTAACTCAACATCCCAAACATTCGGAATTCTAGCTCTTCATTAACATTTTATATCAAATCTGGTACAATTTAGTACTTTTCGTGTACAGTACAAAGGGTGCGATAAAAAACAAACAGTCAAACGCCATAATTTTTACATTTTTTTAATTTTTCTGAACGTAAGCAAATAATTTCGGAAATAGCATAAAATTTTAGAACTGTTCGAATTGGTAACCTTAGGCACGAATTATGGTCTTCAAACGCACAATGAAACCGTCACACGCTGCCCGAATGTTGCCCTGCGGTATTTCAGTCCATTCCCGGCGAAGAGCTTGTTTGAGGTGATCGACACTTAAGTATTTTTTAGTGCCAACCTTGCTTTCCAAAATAATCCAGACACAATAGTCCATCAATTGGTATCCAGAGATTTTGGTGGCCATTGTGCGCTGGAAATGAAGCGAGGAACCTCATTTTGTAACCATTCTTGGGTGGCGCGTGCTGAATGCGATGGTGCTGAGTCCTGTTGGAATGTTCAAGGTCTTTGGCAAACTGTTTGCTTGCCCAAGGCTTTAATGCATCCTCCAGAATACTTTCGCAATACGAGCGGAGAGCGACCATGACCGGCGCTTGATTTCTGGTGGCAAACCGAAGGTGCACATTTTCATCTGACCACTGTGGCAAGTAAACATGATGATGTTGTTTGTTTACAAACTGCTGGACAACGAATGTTTTCTCATCGGAGACCGAGAAATCCAAATTAGGCAGTTCACCACTTTCGGCCAAGCCAAGCAACTCTTTAGCTCTTTTGAGTCTATTTTCTTTCTGTTGCGGTTGCGGTGTAAGTTCTTGCATTTTTTGGAATTTCAATGGTTTTACCCCGAGCTCATTTTTCAATATTTGCCGAATGGAATATTGCGATATGTTCAGCTCACGAGCCATTTTTCGGCTACTGCGACGCGGGTTTCGATCAAGTCGCTTCTTTACTGTTCGAACGATTTCTGCTGATGTTGCTGTTTTCTTCCGATAGCCACTTGTGGTTTAATAGCCAAAAATAAAGAAATCACACTATCACGCTTGAATTCCATCACGAATTACTTTTTTCCGGAAAATTCTCACCAAAATGCTTTTGAACGTTGTAAATAATATAATGAGCTATCAGCTGCCGGACGAGTGGCTTAGAAATGCCAGCATTCTGTAGTGTTTTCATCTCACGCTGTATGTTTCATTTTGACATTAGATCTTGAAGAATGACGGACAATTATTTCACATTTTTGAGAAATAATATTTTCTTCTTAAAACTGACGGATAATTTATTACTTGTTTTATATCTATTGCATCAACCTTAGTGACACCCAATCTATATAGAATCAAATTTGTTGATCTATCAATGCTTGTATTACAAAGACTTTTTTTCGAATTTTGTTAGACAATTTTATTTAAAAGTTTTTCCAAAAATTTCCGAATTATTTTCCAAATTATACCATTATAATTAATATGTGCTAAAAAATCTAATTTTAAAATTGCTTGCGATATTTTCAATTCACTTTTAATGCCGCTGTCCTCAGCCTTCAATCGCCTGTGCAATGCAACGTTCAAATTTGAACACCTGTTCGCATTGATTGGCGTCCTTGATGCTGCCACATTTGGTAATGGCCGGTTTGACCTTAGCCTTATTGTGGTCATAACGCTCCTCCATGAAGGCAATCAAGGGTGCCACATTCGGTTTGCCATCAGCATTGACAATTCCCAACTTCTTGTAGAAACACAACATGTAACATTTCATTTTATCGGTGAATTTCTTCTCATCGATCTTTTCCAAATCATCGGCCATAATGAGATTACTCTCATCGCCACTGATGCCCGATTCCTTGACGCACTCTGCGCCAATCTTTTTGGCCTTTTCTTCCAGTTCTTTGCTGTCCATGGCCTGGAAGTTTTATAAGGGATACATTTTTTTTAGAAATTGTGTGATTTGGAATATATCATCCTTACCTGTGTTAATTCCACAGTGGCCAATATTATGGCCAATAGACCAATTTGGTAAATTAGAACTTTCATTGTTGCAAGTTGTGAAATTTAATGATAATATTCAAGCCAAATCATTCTGTTTAAATACCTACTGACAATGACAATGGAAAATAATAGGAATTAAATTATTTAATTAAATTAAATTACAGAACATGTTATTTTTTGGCGAAAAAAATAATATAATTATTCTACATGAAAATCAGTCTTATTGTTGAAAAAAAAATGGTTAATTAATTTAAAATGGTTAATTTAATTATAGTAAAATATATCCAATTTAATATGAAACCACATATCATTATGAAATTATTTATGTATTTGAAAGTCCAGCAGTCTAGTATACACTCCCTAAGCGACTCGGCAAAAATTAAGCACAATGCTAAAACTATGTAAGAAAAAAGTCCAAAACAATGAATTCCCGTTTATACATTTATAAAATGAAGTAATATTTAATCCGGACCTTTTGTGGCGGAGCTAACGAAAGGCCGCCGCTAATGTTGTCCATATCACATCTAAGTCTAAAATAAATAACATGATGTGCTAAATTTTATCCACATCTTAGTGAAGCTGATATAATAAATTCCAGCATACCGGATGAATATTAAGGTGGAAATCTTATGAAACCTTCTCTGAACTGAGATTAAATAATGAACCTACAGGTTTTGCAAATTATTTTTTTTTATTATACCCAACAACAGTATGTGTTGGGGGTATTATAAGTTTGATTGGGCCAAAAATTATGTAACACCTCGAAATATTGGTTTCCCATATCTCGCCGAGCTGAGTCGATCTAGCCATGTATGTCCGTCCGTCCGTCTGTCCGTCTGTCCATGTTAATTTGTAATCACTCTACAGGTCGCAATTATGGCCCGATCTTCACGAAATTTAGAATGGAGGAGGGGCTAGGGTCAGAATAGAACCCTATTTCTTTTGGAGATGATCTCATAATATTTAGGGGTTGAAATGGACCAAATACTGATAAATTTTCTGATTTTGCAGTTATAGACCAATCGACGCGGAAGATAGCATGTGGCTAAAGCTTATGGCTGGGCAGAAGTCTTCCAATTTTGATGGTAATCGGGTAATATTTAGTGGGTGAAAAGGCCATGACACTGGTGTTAAATAAAATCAAATTTTCCATTCAACCGCGAATATTTTTAATCTCAACGAAATCACAAATAGACGAACAGGTCAATCCTGACCGTTACTTAGATGCCGATAGTAAATATATCGGTTATATATAGCGAAATATGTTCAATGTGTATATACAAAGGAAGGGGATGTTAGCTAAAATGCTTATATCTCAAGAATGGCTGGACCGAATTTGACAAATTTTGTCAATTTAGAATTCCCTCTTGGCATAAGAGAATAAAATTTAAAAAAATCGCATAAAAATGTGCCAATAATGGTGTTATTATAGATTTTGTAGCATTTTGTGACATATTTTTATTTTTTCATATTTTTTATCGCATGCGATTTTTTCAATTTGACTTATAATATTGATATGTACATTTTGTAAAATGTGTTCACCTTACAACACGGGTTGGGGTTATTATATACAGTTTGCAATTATCGTCCAATCTTCACGAAAACTTTCACAAGGGTAAAGTTAGGCTCAGAAGAGCTGTTGTTTTCAAAGTTGACCGCAATATATTTAGGGGTTGAAATGGACCAACCACTAAAAATGTTCCTGATTTTGCAGCCGTTATAAGGTCGCAAATATAAACCAAAGGACAGCGGGTAGAATGGACTACTACTTTTGTGTGAAAAAAAAAACAACGGAGTGCGCAAATGTCCCTGGTCAAAATGGTAAGGGCAATATCTGGGCAGTGCTCCATGACAAAATTTCAAAAGCGAAATCTTCCAAAATGGACTTGGACATAAGGGTGCTTCTAACATATTGTAGTGTTGTAGGGTATCACATGGTCGGCCCCGCACGACTATAGCCTTTGCTTACTTGTTTTTTATTTGTTTATTTTTATACCCTCCACCATATATAGTATGGAGGGTATATTAAGTTCGTCATCCCGTTTGTAACTCATCGAAATAATAGTTTTGGACTCAACAAAGTATATATATTCATGATCAGCGTAAAATTCTAAGGCGATTTAGAGCTGTCCGTCTGTTGTAATCGCGAGATACATTGAGATAGAAAGATACAATTTCGCATAGATCAGTCTTTTGTGTGCAGGCAGGTCAAGTTCGAAGATGGGCTATATCGGTTGACGATATCAAATGGCCCCCATATAACTGTACACCCCGATATTCGGCATTTTCATGATTTTCGACACATTTTTTAATGGAAATGTCTGAAATTCTACACAAGGAGTTCTTTGTGAGTAATTTGCTCCCTGGAAGAGAATTTTCGCAACATAATTTACCGGAATTGCGTTAAATTTCGTTTTTGAAGTTCGTATAGGGTACTACAACGTATGGCTGTAAATTGTCTATGCAGGTCCACGTCTTAGTATAGTATACAACAGTACCTACCTTTATTTGGTATTTTGATGATATTAGCGACATTATTCGCCGGAATTACTTATTCAGCACCACGTCTTCGTATAGCCCCCTTATAAAGGTTTTCATTTTAGCGGTATTTTTCGACCGGTATTTTTTTTATTTATTTATTTTTAAGAAGCGTTAAAGGCAGATTTTATGAATAGTTATTTCGGTTAACAATTGAAAGGAAGTTCATTCAAATGACAGCCTCGGCTGGCCTATCAGTAGTCTACACGATCGGTTCAATTTTTTATGTATGCATCTGTATTCCGATAAAGGCTTCACGAATATTATCTGTTAAAACGTCAATTGTCTCTGGATTATCGGCGTAACACCTATCTTTGACGATACGCCACAATAAGAGTCCAACGGTGTGAAGTCGCAGCCCCGAAGTGGCTAACCGACATCAGCTCTGCTGATAATGCGATCTTCAAAACTAGGGCCCAATAAATCGAGTGTAGCCTCGGCTGTATGGCACGTAGCACCGTCCTGTTGAAACCAAATATTGTCAGTATCATCCTCTTAATTTTTTTGACAATAGTTCTTTCAACATAGCCAGATAACAAAATGTCAACTCTTTGATCTGTTTCGCAATAAGGCCTCTGGGCACCCTAATTTTGGTTGCATTAACTTTTCAGTGTTTGATCGCGTGTTTCTTGTGCCCAAATACTAAAATTCTTCTTTCTTACATACGGAGCTTCTTTTCTTGAACAAAGTAAAAGTAATGTCAAAATAAAATAAAATTAAATTCAATATACATATTATTGATCTCCGGCTTTAGGGTTCTAGTATTTTCCTACCAAACTGGAAACATTCACAATTTGGTATACTATACTAAATTGATGTATTTAAAATCTACCCCTAAAGATATGCTTTACTCAGTTGCGCTTATTCTTATTATTTACAATTTGACAAGGAAATAGTGGAGACTTTTGCTTTCCATAAAGAAGGGTTTGTAATAAATATTTTTTTAACCCTCATGCCCACAACTAGTTTACTCACAATAACTATAACACATTTTGATTAAATGGTACCTTTCTGAAACTCATAAAGTCTGGGGGTGGTAAAGAATTGCTAATTGGGTTAGTATCTTCATTTATAAGCACAGCCAATCATTTTTAAGTTTTTATACCCTACACCACATGGTGGTAAGTGTATTATGTCTTTGTGCATTTGATTGTCACATGGAGAAGGAAGCGAGGTAGACCCATAGTTACTTTTGAGGATCTCCATATCACTTTCTGGGTTGATTTATGCATGTCAGTCCGTCTGTCCATGTATTCATGTGAACAAAATGCAGGTCGCATTTATTATCCGATTGAGATGAACGAACCCTATTGAAATTGGAGATAATCGGTCAAAATTTAGATATAGCTCCCATATATAACGTGTAATATCAGTCCGAATAGTATGGAATTTTGCACGTACAACCAAATTAGGCCTAAAAAAGGTATGCCAAATTTGATCGAAATCGGTTCAGATATAGCTATAGCTCCCATATATATTGTACATCCGATTTGTTATTTTTTTCCTCCGCAGGCGTAATATGCACTCTGTAACAACAATATTTGGGAAAATATATGAAATACAGCTCAGAAATACCTTTGCTAAATTTTATCGAGATCGGTTCAGATTTGGATATAGCTCCCATGTATAACTTCGTCCGATTTACTACTTATTGTACACCAAACGTCTAAAATATTCGACCAAATGGGATGGAATTTGGCACATGCGACGAATTGAGTCTAGAAGCTGGTATGCCAAATTTGGTGAAGATCAGTTTAGATATAACTATAGCTCCAATATATATATTGTTCAACCGATTTTTGTTACCCACAGTCGCAATATGCACCCCGTAACAACGATATTCGGGGAAATATATCAAATACAGCTCAGAAATATCTTTGCCAAATTTTATCGAGATCGGTTTAGATTTGAATATAGCTCCCATATATATCTTTATCTGATTTCAAATTAATTTTGCACCAAGTGGGTAATAAAAGCCCGAATTTTAAAGATACAAATGCTTCGGCACTTTTTGAACTTTAAATTATAATTATAATCATAGCGTGTATGATTAAATTCTCCCACAAAATCTTTTAATTGTTATGTGGAGCTCTACAAAATTAGCAAAGTGGTGTAGGGTAGGTGGTCGGCCCCGCCCAATTTTTTCAAATTTTAAGAATTCCTTCTATTACCCATAGAATATTGTCGATTTCGTATCTGGCACAAGTCTGGTGTAAATATTAAGATCTTGTGTTGGTAGAAATTGGACTCCCCAAATTTTGACCCTTTGTGGGGGAAGTTCTTGATGGAGTTGACCGATATTGTCCACTTTCGCATGACTGACACAAATATTATTATTTGCAAAGTTAGAGCAAACTTGGACGATCCTTTCCTTTTTTTTAAAGAAACAGGAGCAGTGAACCGATATTGTACATCTCCGAACTCGATCTAAGTTTGATAATAATATTACGATGTACCAAGTTTGGACTAAATAGGATACTCCCATCGAGAGTTATCGAGCGCACCAGCCAGCAAGATGCAGG